GTGGACCGCAGCCTAGTATACACAGTACAATAGGTTGAAGTGAAACAAATGTACGTTGTTTCACTTCAACCTATTGCACTGTGTGTACTAGTTCAGAAAGTGCAGCAATAAAGAACAGACCTAATATTTCACGACGGTTTTGTGAATTCTCTAGAAAATCCCTTAGAATATTATGCAAGAGAGATCAAGCTCGAAACTGTCGCGTTTTGAATATACGAGATACCGACGTAAGGTGATATTTCGCAATATTTCCATAATCTGAATATAGTACTGGCTATAGTACATGTAATATATATTATAGTATCGTATCATACGAAAAACTAGGGAAATGCTATAGTATATGTAACGCATACTAGCCTAGTTTACATCGTGCACTTGAAACGGATACTACCTAGTAACTTTCTATTGAATTATCTTAATTTCGGCGAAACTTATAAACATATACATGATACATGTGTATTTAATTAATCATTTTGATGCATATTCTATCAATTTAGTACATTATTCTCTAAATACATCGCTGAAATTAAAATAATTTAATAGAAAGTTACTAGTTAATACGCGTATCAAGTGCTCGGTGTAAAAGGGGTCACTATAGTATTTCCCTAGTTTTTCGTATGCGATTCTTTTCGAGAATAGGGGCCCTAGGGGACCTACTTCAGGCCAATATTACATGCGTCCGTTCTTTGTCGTACGATAAGCTTTTCGAGCCCGTTGATTGGCTGCAGGACAAAGTGGTTCTCGAATCTCTTTTGCTGGATTCACCCTGCATCCGATTTTCGTCGTACGACGAATCCAGCATTTGTCCTGCAGCCAATTAACAAACTTGAAAAATTCGTCGTAAGACGAAAAACGGATGCATGGTGTAATATTGGTCTCAATCTGCTTCGATCCGCGAATGTATATAGGTATGTATGTTGCTGTGTTCCAAAATTCACTGTCAGCGCTGAAAATCTACAGTTTACGTTACGTATACTATACATTTTTAGCTCACTGGCGGTGAATTTTGCAACACAGCCTGTTCATACACAAGTAGGTATGCACGTACATACATAGATGCATACATACGTATATCGCGCCGCGCGCATCTTTGGCTCGTTGACATCGCTGGTCGCTCGCTTGAGCACGGTCGTACCAATTATTAATATGGCAGATGTTCGGGTCTCTAGTGTTGTTTAAGTTCGTGAAACTGTACAGTAAACTGCGAGTGACAAAACAGTGGGTCCTCTTACCGAAGGGCACTGTCATGTATATGAGATTTTGATCGGCGCACGTTCCAACGTCCACGTGCGAATCTGTGATTTAACGCGCGCACGAAAGAGGGAAAGTGCGAGGGAGATTATATTGTACGACTGACTCGAACGTACAGAATCGCGCGGATCTCCCTCGTCGCCGTGAGTCTACCAACATCGCCAACCAACCTCAACGACGAGAAGCACATCGACGACGTCTCCGTGTGTGCGCGCGCGCGCGCGCGCGAAAGAGAAAGAGAACGAGCGTTTTTCGTTTTTTTTTTTTTTTTAAACATTCGTCCACTTTGTTTATCATCAGGAACACTATGGAATTCGTCGCGTTGTGATACGCAGCCGGTGGCGCTTGTCCCAGGTAGTGTCGCGGCACTCTGCGCTTTTCCCTTATTTTGACATCTTACGCACTGTATAACCTTTCACTCCCTTCCCCTCCCCCTCCCTCTATGCCTGTCAATCCGTCCTCCGAGGCCTCCGACAGCGGAGATGATCGGTCCGCGCTGTTTGTGTTTACTTGATACGCGCGGCAACTCGCGGCTGTGTTCGCGGAGAGACGGGAGAGATTTTAGGTGCCTCTCATAGTTTCCGAGAGAAATGAAACAAACGTATCAAGCGTTGTTATTGTGTGTTGTATACTTCTGCAAGTTAGAACTAGCTTTACCAATACGCTTGTTTACTGTGGATTGTCTCTTTTTTTTCCTTCTAACGGACTGTACAAGAAGCTAAGCAGAACTAGATTCGATGTGACTAGTTGCGTACCGAAAAATTGGATTAAAATAAACTTTGTCTTTTAGTTATTATTGTGGTACGCATAGATTCGTATGTGACGTAAAAGTGTAATATAATTGTTGTGATTATGAAGCTCTGTTTATAACGAACCTGACATTGATTGAATACATTCAATGAATGAAGATTGTATTTGAATCTCAACGATCATTACATAGGCAACATCAAAGTTCTTATCATAGGCATATTTACTTTCATGTGCTTCAAACATAAGAAACTTATATTTGTATATAAATGACAAACTTCTTTGAACATTAGAGAGATACATATCTGATTAAAATAATTTTTTGTTGTTAGGTGTGTCATCGTCTCTATACTGCATTTTAATGTAACTATTACGGAAACGCTGTGCGAAGGAGGAGGTAAACGATACAATGCATTTTGTGATAGTCGCTAAATCATTGCATCCAGCTGGAACCAAGAATTAATCGAGATTTTTCTTATTTCAGGTTACAAGTGATTACGGGTCTTTGTCATGGATCAATGGCGATCTCATGAAATTATTAAGTTTTCAAGTGTTGTGCTAGAGAAAGAAAAGTGGATGTGTTAATCAAATCTGCAAGGTACAAGTGCTTGGTGTGCCTGCTTGCGGGCAAAAACATTTTTTTTTAAGTAGTGCCACCAGGCTATGGCCAACTTGAACTTTGAACAACCGCCACGCAGTATTGCGAACGCAAGTCTTACTTCACGTGCTGCCACTGCTGGGGGAGGTTTGAATACCGTGGCCCTCGCGGGTCATGTCACGCCTACCTCGGGCATGTTCTCAGGCTCGTCCGCAAGTACTTCGAGTACAGTCAATTCAGCGATAGTCGCCGCTAACGTTTATCCTGGAGCATCTGGCGGTGGACAGAATAATCATCAGCAACAGCAGCAACTCTCTCCTATGGGCAGTAGAGGACTGTTTGGACAGAGAGCTTTTACTGATAGACGTACGATGCCTGCTCTTGGGTTAGTGGTATTTCTCTTTTTTCATGTACATGTTTCTGCCTCTTTCTACTTTCTCTCTTTCTCTGCGTGTGTGCAATCATCTCCATCTGTATTGTAGAGCTTCAAATCCAATGGGTAGTATGGGCAGTTTCGGAATACCTCCAAGTCGCAATTACGGATCTCAAGGTGCGGTTAACAATTTCCACTCTGTTTTTGGGAGTGGAGGTGGTGGAGATACGAGTACTCCACCTCTGTTAGATCTCTCGGAGTTTCCCTCCCTAACGAATAGAGGTCAAGGTGATTCTATGCCGCAACCTAGTCCCATGCCAGGGAAACAGCCTTATGGTTAGTGCCAAGAAAACAAGCGCAAAATCAGATTTTTATAATGTACAAGATAATCATAATACACCACGTTTGGCTCGAATCTTTTTCTTGATTAGAAAACTTTCTACATAATTTTGCGAATTTATTTATAACTTACTTTAAAATAAGACAAGTAATCATACTTTCTGTTAAAGTATTATAAAATTGCAAAATATATTATAATGCAGTTTGTGTGCATGCGTGCGTGCGTGCGTTTAGGTTTCAGATCTTTCCAAATATTTAATATAGATGACCACACTAAAATTATTTTGCTGATGAAATTTTCATTTGTGTATGTTACAGTTGGAATGGTAAAGCAACCAACATCCGAATCGAGCGAATTTACGATGAGCTCAGAGGATTTTCCTGCATTACCAGGAACGCAGAATCGAGAAGGTCCGTCACCTGGTGGCAGTATGTCTGGTGATAAAAATATTCCTGTAGGACTTGGTCCAGAAATCGGACAAGATGTGCTACAGGCCAACAGAGCACCTGGATCTGAGAAATCTCAGTCTTCTAAAAGAGGCATCCAAACATCGCCCGATGGTAAAATCCAAATAAATTAGATAGTTAAGTTTTATCAGAGTTTAATTCTCAACATAATTATTGCATAGGCAAGGTGACGAATATACCTGCAAGCATGGTGAAGGATCAATTCGGCATGGTTGGGCTTTTGACGTTTATCAGAGCGGCGGAGACAGATCCGAACTTGGTGTCGCTAGCGTTAGGTCAAGATCTTACTGCATTAGGACTGAATTTGAATTCACCAGAAAATCTCTACCAGAATTTTGGTGGCCCCTGGGCGGAAACTCCGTGTCGACCGCAGGATATAGATTTTCACGTACCACCGGAATATCTTATAAATGCCGCAATCAGGTATTGATTTTCCATCCGATTAGTTAATTTATAAAGCTATCTGTATTGTGATAAAAACTACAAATATTTGTGAACTACATATTTGTACAATATTTGAGCTGCTTCCAAATTTTTGATACTTTACTATTAAGCAGATATTAAATGGAAATTATTTTATCGATGTATATTATATTAAAAAAAATATATTAAAACGAAATTGTTTTTGGAATTGAAATAGAATAATTGTTATTATTGTATAGAATTGTATTTCATTTATAGAATATATTCTATTATTGCACAAATTATTTTATTTGAACAAAATCACATTTTTTATATTTATTTTATAGGGATAAACTAGCGCCAGTTAAACTAAATCGATATAAAGATGATCTACTGTTTTATATGTTTTATACAAATGTTGGGGATGTATTGCAATTAGCTGCTGCGGCGGAACTGTAAGGAAAAACAAAATTGATTTTTATACTTGGAAATATTAGCGCGTACATATGATTTAATTCAAATAATTTTTTGTATGTGATATGAAGATACAGCAGAGAGTGGCGATATCATATGGAGGAAAAAGTTTGGATAACGCAGGCACCAGGTTTGGGAATTGTAGAAAAGACGTCGACATATGAACGTGGTACTTATTACTATTTTGATGCGCAAAATTGGAGAAAGGTAGCTAAGGAATTCCATTTGGATTATGCAAAACTAGAAAGTAGACCTCATCTTCCTTCGAACTTTCACCAAACTCAGCCTTGACTACAGGTGTGTGTACTCAATTTTATTTTCTTTTTCTTTTACATACATATCACACGTAACGCACACACATGCATATATTTGATTCAAGTATCGATAAAAAAACTAGTAGAAAAGAAGTCGGAGCTTTCAATATCGTTCCACATGACATAATTTTCTGATTGTGTCTCTGTGTTCTTCTCTGTGATTAGTCTGCAAAAAAATACAATAGAGATAATCTTAAAATTATAATAGAGATTTTATTATCTGTTTTAGACTTGTCTGCAGACCATTGTGCTGTCTTTAAGCTGGAAACGAATCAGCTATTGTATAAATGAACAAATTTAATAATCTTTAATAAAAACATAAAATTTGAAGAGTAATAAAAGGAACTTTTTTAATCACTAACTTAGATACCTCTTCGCCTCGCTATCGGTCATAGTTCATTATCGATTGTCATTATCTTACCATAATAATTCTTCCTCGTAATTACGATATTTATTATATTCTCATACCTTCATATTCTTTCACAATATATTATAATCCATATGTTATGATAAATTTCTTAATTTTTCCGCTTGCGTCGCGAGATTAATTATATCTTCTGTAGCATTTATGGTAAAATGTTCAATGTAATTCCGACTGTTTTTCTCAGAATCTTCTAAGAAATATCTGTGCAGAAACGTAATCGTGTATGTATGTGTGTGTATATATATATATATATATATATAATATATATACACAGACTGTACGCGTACAGTCGATTTTTTCATGTATACCTATAGTTAACCATTATGCCGCAACTATTTGCCACTCCGCGTGGTGAAGGATCAGCCATCCAATTTATTCGCCACATTACAGCTCCATTGCGTAAATGGAAATTAGCTGCATAAAATAATATACAAAATGTACAGAAGATAATTATCTTATAATGCTCGTCTTGCTCTTTAGAAATACCTCTACATTCACAAATTGATTATGAAAGAAGAAAAGCAATATGGGACATACCGACTGTATTTAAAGCATAGCCACGTCTTTTTTCTTTATACAAGTACCATGCACATGCTCGAAGTAATGGTTCTTTTAAAAATTCTGACAGTTGTTTGTCCCCTGTCCATAATGATGTGTCCAGGATTTTTTTAAAAATTGATATCAAATGTTCTGTTTGCAAAATATCTTTTGCAATTTGATATTCTTGTGTGGTAAATATAAACGTCATGTCTATGAAACAAATATATATATATATATTTATATGTAATTTCTATTTATTTTTTTTCAATAGCCTGCATTTACCTTGTTTCAATTTATCGGACAACCAAGCCTTAAAATTTGGTATTGGTGATAAACTAGATAATTGTCGTATAGCTGGAAATTCAGTTGTGATCTCGCTGGCTACTTCTTTTATCAAATAATTACCGAGCTCAATCCCCTGTAAAAATATCCTTTCATAGCTATACATATTTTTTACAGCACAGAGTTGTAGTGTAATATATGTCAACCTGAACTTGGAAAGTATAATTAACATTTTCATTACATAAATCAACTACCTGCAATCCTTTCTGAGTAGATACTATAGAATAAAATATTGCTGCTTTTATTTTTGATTTATCTTCCTCTAAAAAAGTTATATATTTCTTTGCACTTCCTAAAATTCTAGTTTCAGCTTCTTCAATACCTTTTACACTATCTGTAATATAATACAGACGAATATTAAAAAATTTACTCTTCTCTTTCTTTTCTATATGAAACAAATTCTATTCGGAAAGTTTTGAAAGTAAATTTCTTTGCATTTGAACCTGGTATAACATCACATAATGCTGTATGCAACACAACAATAGGTTCTCTTGGCATGGATGGATGTGTAAATATGTAACATCTTCTATATGGCCCAACCCTGCGTTTCAAGTCCAACCAATTTCTCATAGGATGTATAGCTTCGTAATCAGAGATCTTTGAGTTTACGAAGAATTGAAATGAAGCACGAGAAATCATTCAGAAATGTAGAAATTGAAAATAGATATAATAATGGAAATAAAATATATCAGAATTGTAATTACTTTTTGCAATATATCACATGCACTTTCCCAAGTTATTCGTTCCATATGTAAAAAACCCACGGAAAACCAGAGTAAAAGCAAATCTCGCAAAGTATGATTTAACTGCTGTATTATTATGCTTTCATCTGCATCTTTCATTTCTGATATTAGTTGCTAAGAAAAGTAGAAATAATCAGATAGATAGATATAATAATAATTTAACCCTGATATATATCTATAATAAATGTCAATTAACAATAAGATTTGTATCACAAGCATACATAAAGATACCTTTATTTTGCTTACCAGAACATCAGTTCTCAGGTCAACCAAGAATTTGACGCCATGCTGTAATCTTCCTACAATAACGAATAACCAATGATAAGCAGGTGTGAGAACATCCTTCAAAGCTCTCTCATGGACAATCATCTGACGTTCATTTTCAGGCTATAATAAAACGACACTACAGATACTTTGTACAAATGCAACATATTTAATACATACATATTTCCAATAACAGTAATGATATGGAAATAAAAGTTTGTACATTTGGAATATATGTATATACAATACAATTTGATTAAAGCTTTGCATATAACTCACACAAAACAGTGTACCTCAGTGCAGACCAATCTCTTGGCCACTCGACATATAACGTCATGTTGTACAGCATACCGCGAAGCTAATGTACGTAAAATCCACTGGCGATTATCTTTATTGCTTTCAGTATAGCTGACGCACAGTGCACGTGCCTTGTTCTGCAAATATAGATACTTTCCGATATACAATTTCTGCGAGGAAAAAGGAAGATGGGTGCTTTATATTACAGTTGAGAAATATGACTTGTAACCTCAATGATCCAATTGCTGATTTTGGTGTCCTTAAATTTAAAAATTTCCTGTAGTTGCTCGTTCACGTGTAATGTGCTGTTTGCTTCGGTACGTAAAGCGGAGGATGACGTTCCATTATATTCGCGTTTAACATTGTGCTTCAACGTGTTCGCGAGTCTGCAGCGATAAATAATCGGTAAAAACTCGAAGGGAAGCTTTTTTAACATATCTTAATCAATTATAACGAGATGAACTGGAACAGATACTTGATTTTCAACAGGTGTCACGTACTGAAACATGCATCAGCTGATATGATGACTTGCCAGATTTCTTTTTCCGTGTTTCGGTTTGTAGATAAAAACATGGACTGCTGGCTGCGTTCCACTTACGCTCGCAAGCATCGTTTGTCCTTGTTTAATATTTGATAAACAACAAGGATAAAATGATTCCACGGGTGTTGCGAGCGTTAAAGGGATCTAGAGCCCCTATACCAGAGTCTGGACATGAGCGCGATTGTGGCAAAATGCTACGAGAGAGAAAGATATGTATATATATATATATATACTATCTTCGTTTATTCATTCTAACCTGAATATAATGGTTTTCATGCTTGTCGGCATTGTAAATCGATGGAAACATGTAGTGGGATACCATTTCACAGAAAGTAGTTGTAAGAGTACATCTTTCAGATAATTAGTAAAGCAGAACAGATAGGTTTTCGAGTTAATTTTATAACATCGGATATGGGTTCAACAAATACTGGCTTGTGGAAGTTATTAGGAATAAGCAGTGGAAGATATAATAAATTAAGTAATTAATAAAATTATACATCCGTTCAATTCTAATCGATCTTTATATGTGATTGGTGCCCATCACATATCTTAAAAAATTTAAAGCAAACTTTACTTAATAATAAAGTGATGACTATATCTATTATCGATGTTGTACTTATCATTATGCCTCTTTGAACCGATTTAAATTCACCGTTACCTATTTCTAAATCTGTAAAAATATGAATAACTTTTAAAAAAAGTCAATATTTTCATTATATACGTCTTAATTTTTTTTACTAAATGCTAAATTACAACTTCTTGATGTTATTAGGCAAAACCATGCAGTAGTAACAGTCTGTTTTACTAAATTCATCTGCTAATAATTCAAACGAGCTGCTTACATCATTAGAGAAAACATTTTTAGCCTTGTTTACCTTCATTTTATTAAAATTATTGCAAATGAGATCATCTATTTTTAATCTAGGTGTCAATAAAAGTTCGCAATTATGTTGAATATCTATATTAACTGAAAGAAATGTTCTGACAAAATTTTATTTGAAGGTAACTTATACTTAATCATTCTATCATTGCTGATCGAGTTAACCGAATATCTTATTACAGAAAGAAATGTAGAATATATTTTAACTTCTTGATTCAATCAAGATTGCCTTGAAAACCTTTTTTCTCAAATTAGACAAAAAAATTCTAAACCTCATCCGCTACAATTTACGAACGATTTGAAATTAATATCAATAGCTATGTATATATGAGATATATCGATAGTAACAATTATGAAAACGATGAGCGAGAATATTTATCAGGATTTCTTAATTATATAATAGGAGATAAACTGAAGAAAGAATGTATTATCAATATAGGAACAATAATACAAATAATATTAATGATGAAATTCCACCTTTTTCTAAAAATCTGAATTTATAAGGTTATCGACGTCTGAATTAGAGCGGGAGTTGCCATAAACGGCGAACCAATCAAAAGTTGTCTCTCTCGTGTCCAGACTCTGGTATAGGATCTCTATTTTACCCGTGTTTTCAGTACCTCTACAAAGCGTCTATGAAGCATCGAACTAAAAAATGATTCCGAGCCGCTTAATTTGAATATACTAAAGCGTTAGGCCGAAAACAGACTACGCATTAAGCGGGGAGCACAGACTCTTGCATAACGCATAATACATAAGGCATAAGAAATTCAACCAATCATAGTTCTTTATTTCATGGAAAGGAAGGAAACGAAGGATTTTGATTGGTTTATTTTCTTATGCATTATGTGTTATGCGTTCTGCAAGAGTCTGTGCTCTCCGCTTAAAAGATTGAGATTGAAGATTGAAGATTAAAATTTGACCAGTGAGGACAAAGGAATTTTAGCTCCTATTGGCCGGTATTCATAGTCGGTTCTTATTTCAAAACCATTTTAAGTAATATCTTAATACGCTAATGCGGCTCTATTGGCCGCAGCACAGACTTTTGCATAATACATAATGTATAGTGCATAAGGGAATCAATCAATCGAAATTCTTCTTTTCCATGGAATGGCAGGAAAGGAAAGATTCTGATTAGTTGATTCGCTTATGCACTATGCATTATGCAAAAGTCTGTACTGCGGCCTTATGATTGGTTCATGACACCTCAAGGCTGAACTTAAGACGATCTTGAATATAAGAACTATGAATACCGGCCATTGTTTTGATTGGTCAAATTTCAATCTTTCAATACGCTTTAGGCCGGAATCAGACTAGGCATTGAAGATTGAGATTGAAGATTGAAAGATTGAAATTTGATCAATCAAAACAATAGGAACTAAAATTCCTTCGCCCTCATTGGTCAAATTTCAATTTTCAATCTTCGATCTCGATCTTCAATGCGTAGTCTGATTCCGGCCTTAGTATATTCAAATTAAGCGGCTCGGAGCCATATTGATTTTTAGTTCGATGCTTCATAGACGCTTTGTAGAGGCGCTGAAAACACGGGTAAAGAAAATACAATGAGAGTTTACTGGCCCTGGTTGTGACATTTATGACATCACTCATACATACATTGATATGCATCGCTGATAAAATTTGGTAAAATGGCGATGTCAGTGAACACAAGTAAATATCAGTGAAGAATCTTCGGAAGATTATCGTTTTCGGAGGAATGTCAAAGTAATCTAAAAGCGCTCGCGAATGTGACGCGCTCCGATAATAATAATAATAATAATAATAATAATATACAGAATGCAAACGGCTCATTTTTATTGCCATCTCGTTTGGGGTGTTTGGTGTTTCCTACAAGGTAATAACACATTCTTGATTACGTCTAATTACGCACGTTTCCTATGTCATTTCACGTTATCATTGTTACATCGATATTTCTTCTATTCTCTGTATTTGTTACAACGCTCCGTTTTTTTTATTTGAACATGTTAATTGTAATAAATGACGTTGCACATCATTATTTTTAATCAAGTATTTTCTTTATTTTCAGTTACTGCCAAGGACTATGTTCAACTGTCACATGACGGACCAGTTGTACTGGGTGGGACGATCACTTTTAGAGCAGATGTGTACAGAGATGGCAAACGACCAAAAGAGACTTTCAGATACATATGGAAAGATAATTCATTAATGAAACATAATTATGAGGTTACAATGTTTCATTAGTTATATTACAGTATAAACTGTTATTTAAAATTAACTGTGTTTTCTCAGCAGAAAAAACAACTGCACTTTCAAATTGTTGTAAGATTCTTTAATATGATTGCACATTTTGATTTAGTAAGGAACTAAGAGTAAGACAATCATATTAAAGAATTTTACAATAATTGCAAAGCTGCTTTTTCTGGTAAACATAGCCTATAGGCCTGTTCTTTTTGGCTGAACTTTTGTACCAGTTCATTTTTCTTTTTCTTTTTTCCTTCTGGAGAGAAAAGGAAGAAAGATGAACTGCAAAAGTTCAGCCAAAAAGAACAGGCCTATTGTTACTTTTAGCCATATTCAGTTATCTTGTTTATTCTTTGACGTAAGAAATTCTTGAATGTAGATAATATTTAATATTTTATGATTTTTTCATGGATTACTTATTTATTTTTTTGTCAATATTATAATGTGTTATCATTTTTATGTACTCTGTAACATTTTAGAGCAAAAAAACGTCAAATACAACAACATTTTGGAGCATAAGTTATCCACGTGAAAGTAACATTCCTGGAAACTATACAGTAGAATTACAAGTCAAATGTCTTAGCTATTCATTTTTTTGGGTAACTGATACAAGTGCTCGTATCGAGTTTGAAATTTCTGGTAACTGTTGATATTGACGAAAATTTCTCTGACTGTTTCTCTTTGTCAAATATTATATTTTATTATCTATTTTAATTTCAGAAGGTCTTAATGGTAATATAGCCATAAAACAAGCTAATAAAACCATAGCAGGAGAATATATCTCTTCTACAAATGAAACCAAACTAACAATAGATTTACGAAAGGGAGATTATGACTTTATAACTCAGAAAGCAACAGCGATATTGACGTATTGGTTTATTGACTGCAAGTATTACGGTCAAACAAATGATTTCACTTTCATTTATAACTTTACAAGTCCTGGTATAACATACGAAGTAGGAGCTTTAGTGATCGCTTCCTACGACCCACCAACGACCACAACCATGGCACCTACAACTACAGTTGCACCTGTTAATGTGACAACAGTTGCATCCAATACTACTACGGCAAATACGAATGGAACTCTTGTCACAGTAGTAGTACCGATAACTGTTACGAGTGTAAAACCTCCGATGAAGTCTACGACAATTGCACTTCCAATTAATACAAGCACGGTAGAACCTGCCAACATATCGTTGCCATACATTTGCTCAAATACGTCTCTCATTCTACCGGATCCTAAAAAAACATATGGATATTTTTATAAGAAGATGCATGTTCGTGGTTAGTAAGATGTGCAATCGATATTTTACAGAATTTTTATAATATTTTTCATTTTTTAATAAATATCTTCAGCTCCCGTGTCAAATATCTCAGTCGAAGGTACAAATTGGATCCAACCATGGGACATGCTATCTTTGAATATAACTTGTAAGGGATCAGGTCCGTTTTCTAAGTGTCTTCAATTTTACCATGGAAAGTACAATACAACGGGAAATGAAACTTGTGATAACGTAGATCACTTGTACTCGTGCAATTTTTCCATTAGTCATTATTTTCTTCAGCCCGGTGTTTACACAATATTAATCATATTAAACAATGAAGTTAGTACGCAGATTTATCCACTAACGATAAACATTTATAAAGGTAAATTCCTTTAGAATGATATCTATTAATACCGTTCTCTCATGGTTGCATTAGTGCACACTGAGTGCATATTAGAACTGTTGTACACTGATTTGAATTGTGTAGAAGTAAAATTCAAATATTTCGAATTATATATATATATAAAATACAGATTTTACTTAACAGCACAATAAAATGTATTGAGGATTTCATGATTTAATCTGTTTTTATGTACTTATATTAAACATACGTCTTTATGTCAATTTGTGTATGACGGCTTTAACATGCACTCAGTGTGCACTAGTGCAGCCAAGAGAAAACACTATAAGTATTGTAATTTATGGACATACACAATGATAATATTCATATTTAACTTTCTTACTCTTCTCAGTAACAACAAAACCGCAGTTATCGGTTATCGTAGTACCAGTTTCTTGCTCGGTTATTGCCGTGGTGCTGATAGTATTCGGCGTGGCGTATTACATCCAAAGCAGAGTAAGATTCACGATAGAAGTCGCGGACTTTAATTTTGGACAAAGTAATCCAGAGATGGAGTACAAAACGTTTACGGAACGTTTACGAGACTCATTTAATAACACTGTAAGACCTGGCAGCAAGCGGCCAAGCGTACGCTATTACGGCAGCATGAATCAATGAAACATACAGGCTGTGCGAAGCTATGTGATTCCTATCGCCATCTCTTTCTGTTGCTTTTTAAATGCAGTATGATTTATTTCTTTTTCACTTTTTTTTTGGTTGGTCTCTTGTGCTTAACTTTGGTTTGCCTATCGCAGATTTAGGTCAGTATTCATAGTCGGTTCTTATTTCAAGACTGTCTTAAGTAACGTCTTAAGATGCTATTGCGACTCTCTGATTGGTTTGTGACACCTCAAGGCTAAACTTAAGACATCTTGAATACAAGAACTGACTATCAATACCTAAATCGGTAAAATAAAAATACCAATATGAAATTTTTTTAATAACGGACAACTTATTACTTTATACTTATTAAAAAAATTTATACCGATCTGTTACTAACATATGAACTGTTTATTATCTGTAGGGATATAAACCACTCAGCAATCCACAAACACTTCAGTGATGCATGAAAACGAGAAGTAATATATTTAAAAGCGACACTGGAACAAAAGTTTCTGCAAAAAGCGAGGGGAAATGAGTAATGCGCCATGCAAAAATATCCGTCGGCAAAAATTTAACGACATGCGAAGAGATCTGTCGAATGCTATTGTGCACTAATAGATATTGAGAAATTTGGTTTAAAGATAAACTGGCTATAAAAGGAAAAAAGAGAAAGATAATGTTGTGCGATAATTTTTAACAACATTATCGAATGTTGAAATCGAAATTGTACATAGATGAGGAAATTACGATGTATATATAGGCTGTGAATATAGTATGCAATGGTGTATTTTAGAGTTGCTCTTAACATGAAACACAGGAGAGTTTAATATTTTTTTAAGGTTGCAATGAGAATTATCTCAACTTACATCCCTTTTATAGTTTCATACATTATTGCTTTGATTTGTTGTTTATTAGTAATCGTACATGTTTTGCACAAATGCGATACAATAGTGAGTTTTAAAGAAAAGAAAACAATAGCATAATTTATTAACTTATATCATTTACACATGCATATATAGGATGTCCTATTTTAAATAATGCATTAAGATCAGTGTTTGATCTTATCTGGATAAAATTATCTAGATGATCACCTAGATGAAATTTTGATGTCTTTATCTAGATAATAAAAATATTAATTATCTTTATCTGCATTTTAGATGAAAAAAAGTGTCGTCTTTATCTATATTTAGAATGACGTTTAGATAATTTAATTTATATTTTAGATTACTAAAAATGTGCTGAATATTGAAATATTCGCTTTTATGTAATTCATGTTTGCAGAAAAATTTTCAGCCTCAAGGAAAAAGTGGGTGCATTCAGTAGTAGATAGGTCTGTTCGCGTTGCTTGCACTTTTTATATTCGGCATCTTTGCTGTGTCTCTGTTCAAGGCCAAATATATGTATATCTATCTCATTTTAAGTGCAAAAATATTTGGAGATTTCATGCAACGCGAACAGACCACTCACTTGCACTCAAGTGATTTGAGATGTTGATTGCGTACTTGAAATGAGGAGAAAATTATAAAAGTGAGCAAATTCACTAGATATTGACCAATTAAATTATAACTATTCTAGTGAATTTGTTCACTTTTGCAATTTTTACCTTATTTCGAGATACACAATCGACCATCTGTAGTTTGATTTATAAAATTCATGAAACCCTCTGTTTTTTATTTCTGCACTAGATTGCACTAGATTGAACTCTCTTTCTCTCTTTTGCCAAATATCAAACATATCTATCTCGTTTTAAGTTCCAAAAGTGTACAATAGTTCAGCCACAGAAAAGACAAAACAAATGGCAAAATCTTATATCTTTTATTAACTATGAGTAATAATGAAATTAAATTAAAACTAATAAGTTATAGACTCCTTTAATTGATACGACAAGCAATAAAAAAAATTCATACAAAATACGACTATAAGAGTCAACCTCTGGCTATGATAAATTTCGAGATATACATTTAATTTATATCATATGATTTCGTATATTTCGACTTCTGTTTGAGTCATCTTCAGCGTTACAACCTTTTAATATTACAACATTTAATACATCGCAGTCAATGTCTTCAAAGTTTCCCCTCCTTTTGTATGCGACCGTTGTGGATAAAAACTCCAGCTAAAATTAAAAAAAATCATTGAAAAAGGTAAATAATATAGAGAACAACAGAAATAAAAATTGTGCTTACTTTACGGAGTCAACAAATCATAAACAAAGTAATAGTAAATCACACGAGAATTACAGAACGTCATCGCAAATAAAAATTAAAGGCATTTAAATGCGATATATTAATTGTCGTAATATTAAGGTTATAACGCTGAAGATGACCCAAACAGGAGTCGAAATCATATGTTGTTATTATTAACTAAATGTATGTCTCGAAAATTTTAACAACCAGAAATTGACTCCTATAGCCTTTTGTATGAATTTTTTTATTGTTAACTGTAAGTATAAGACGGTATTCATAGTCGGTTCTTATTTCAAGACCGTCTTCTGATTGGTTTGTGACATCTCAAGGCTGAATTTAAGACGATCTTGAATATAAGGACTGACTATGAATACCGATCTTAGTCTTAAAAATAAAAAAAATTATCTGGAATTTTTTAGATGAATTTTCTGATAAATTTATCTGTTTTATTTAGATTAATTTAAATGAAATCATCTTTATCTTATCTAAGATAAATTTCCGAATTTTCATCTTATCTTTATCTAGATAATTTTTAAATCATCTATGCACAACACTGATTAAGATTTCTTGAAAACTGTGGTAGATACGGAAAAATGTTTCAAATAAAAGTTATATGGTTTGGAGAGGGACATAAGAAGGTACCATTGATTTGACTTTGGGTGACATTGCCAAAGCCAGGTTAAGGTCACGACGATTTTTTTAAATGGAACCCTCTATTTTTCATTACATTTTCTCGTAGCTTACCTCGAGAGCTTTTCTCTCGACGTGACCTTGACCTGGCTAGCCTTGGCGACGGCACCCAAGGTCAAATCAATGGTACCTTCTTATGTTTCCCTCCGAATCATACAACTGTTGTTTGAAACATTTTTCCGTATCTACCATAAGTTTTCGAGAAATCTTAATGCATTATTTAAAATGGGACATCCTGTATACATATATACGCATGCATATGTATGTACACTCGCGTATAGAAGTCCACGAAAAAGCTTTATTGAAAAGCAAAGTAAAATCAAGTGCGTTCGTAAATTTTTAAATAGTACATTGTATTTATAATTGATTAATAAGTACAATTTTCAGAAGATTTTGATTCAAATAGAATCATTTTAGATAAAATTTATTTATCACGAGACACTGAGCTCGAAGAATTAACCCCGGAAATGTAATAATTACAGTATTGTGGCATAAGAATAAATATTCATCTGCTTATCTTTAATAAAGAAAAAAAAATGTTAATAGATGTTATACTATTGCCGTTTCTGCATTATTATTTGGCGATTGCCGAAATATTATCGATGCATTACGTCGGGCTCGTTGCAGTTGTGTAATACTTATTAAAATTATTGTAATAATATCGTAATATATATTTTCACATTGAACTAATTTTGATTTTGATATAAAACAAAATGTAAACATTTTAATCAGCATTGAACTATTGACCGATTATTCATCGATTACATCAGTTAACAGAAACATCAGTTAACGAATACAGCGAAAGCTTGAAGAAATTTTGTGGAAAATTTCAAGTAATTTACGCGGAGTCTATGGTATTCATAGGATGGAATCCATAAACGTTGCTCAAGATTCGAGATGTCCTTAAGCTAGTGCATGAACCAATCAGAGAGCCGTATTAGCATCTTAAGGGTACATTCTGGGCTGCGTTCCACTTTAACGCTCACAACGCTCGTGGAATCATTTCATCCTTGTCATTTATCAAATGTTAAACAAGGACAAACGATGCTCGCGATAATACGGCTCTCTGATTGGTTCAAGCACTAGCTTAAGATCATTTCGAGTCTTGAGCAACGTCTATGGATTCCGTACTGTGTCTTTGGTTAAGTGGAACGCAGCCCAAGGCTGTTCCAAAATTGACTGCCAGTACATAAAATTTATAGTGCACGTAACATAAACTGTAGCATTATCAGTGTTGACAGTAAATTTGGAACACAGCCATAATCGATAAACGGGGAGCACAGACTCTTGCATAATGCATAACACATAAGGCATAAGAAATTTAACCAATCAGAGTTCTTTATTTCATGGAAAGGAAAGAAATGAAGGACTTTGATTGGTTCATTTCCTTATGCATTACGTGTTATGCGTTATGCTAGAGTCTGTGTTCCCCGCTTTACTCTTTACTGAAAATCTATAGTTTACGTTACGTGCACTATAGGTTTTCAATACTGGCAATAAATTTTGGAACACCTCGGATTGTCTAGTTTATTTTTTAGGGACATTTTTATAAATGGGATGAACTTTCTCAAATCCATCTCTTTTATGTCATGGTCGATGCGAAGCGAACGAAGGTAGAGGCGTAGAGCGAGGTAGCGTTAATGGCGACAATTGGCGACTACAGATGGGAAGAAGATGGAAAGAAGAATATTAACATGGCGACATGTGCGGTAAATTCAGTAAATAGGGCTAATTGCGCCCTGTCGAGGTGCTTTTACGCCGCGGTCGCATGGTGAATGTTGTTGCGCGCACCGTGCGTACAATTCGAGGAGGCTCGGTGCAATTGCTGTGACGTCGAGGACGCGTCCTTCGCACGTGTTCGCTGAGTGCAACGCGATTACGCGATGTCGGTCAGTTACGCTAGGATGAAGTCGTGCCACGAGGCGTCGTCGCCAACGTCATTACCATCGCCAATGTCGCCGTCGACGACGACACCAACGACGAGTAATGCATTGCCCAGGCGTGCCGGCGATGAGGAAGATTGGCAGATGCAGCTGGCCTTCTGCAAGCCTCGGCACAATGCCACGATCGAATATGTCAATTGTATCAGTCAGACTTGGCGAATGAAGGAGCGGGTACGTACGTGTACCGAATGCTCGATACGTTCGCGATCGGTTAAACTTACGACCGGGTAATTATGCCCATGAGAGCGCGACTGAATCTTTATCGCTGCATATATACGTTTTTGTTTTCTTAGATGAAGACAGTGAGTGTCGCTCTGGTGTTGTGCCTGAACGTTGGCGTTGATCCTCCAGATATCGTCAAGACACAACCATGCGCCCGTCTCGAATGCTGGATAGGTAGCTAAACTGGATGCCTCCTTAGTTTATTTACATTCTTTCCTCCCTACCGTTATGTAATTGCGATTTTGAGGTTAGGCATGTTAAGCGTGCCAAGTGATTCAGCCTGCTGACCATGGCATACCTGATATACGCGATACGCCAATGCTTCTGCAAGCATCCACTAGATCGGGGTATCGTTCGCATTGAGCAATCTTTTCATTTTGTCAAAATTAATAATAAATAACAGATGTTTAAAAATTTTTATATATGTGTGCAACTAGTAAGGAAAAAAGTATAAAGTGACATGAGAATGAAAATGTAAAAGAACC